AATAAAATTTAATAATAATAAAAAAAAAAGAAAATCCGCTGGAGCGTCAGCTATGATGATAAATACAACATAAACATACTATATTCTACAACACTACACTACATTCATTGCCATTCAGTCGAACTAACTCATAGCTGATCCTCCAGCGGGTCTCAAGGCTGTAAAACAGACAGGACGACACTACCCACCCTTCTCCTGAGGAGGGTGGGATTCCTGCCGTCAGAAAGATGCCACCTTTGGGCTAGCCACGCCACTCCCCATGGGCTACACCACCAGAGCTCCCTTGTCTCGTTCATAAGATGATAAATTTCCCACTAGACAAAAGTGAGCTTTATAAAACCTCCATCAGATCAGATTACGTCTTTCTCTACTGAAAATATAAAACCTGCAACTGCTTTGAATGCCCTTCCCTTCACCCACAGAGAACTCCTAACACCTTCCCTGCCCAGCCGCAGTCTACCTCTCCACCCTATCTGCACACACTTCCCCTTGATCACCCTTCCAACTACCCTGTCCTCACTCGGTACCTCCAAATGCTACACCTCTACTGAGGCCTGGGCACTCGGGCTCCCCCACCTGCCCAGGATTGTGGAAAGGTCACTTCCCCTTTTCCAATCCACCAAGCCAGATTATATCCACTACTTCATATGCCTCTGGTCACTCAAGTATTTGTTGTAAAACCTCTCCTGACCCCTAAAAATCAAAGCCCAGAAAAGCCAGAATCTGGTTTCGTTTAGCATTGTATCCAAGTGTTTAGTAAGTATCAGGAACTGGACAGATTTTATCTTATTTTTTTTTAGATGTGTAGGTGAATGTATAGATAGGTGAGTGAATGCTGAGGTCACCTTGTGAAGAGGAAAGGGTGAGGCTCGAAAGCTTGTATCTACTTTGGCAGTGGTACCATCACCAGGAAAAGTTCCACCCACCTCGGGCCATGTCCAGTTCAGTGCATCTCCGGTCTGGGTTGGTGTGGACACGACACTTGAACACAGCCCCAGGGGATTTCACTGAAGTGCTGTACTTGGAATCTGCCTTCGGGGCACCCACAAGAACCCTGCAGATCAAGAAGAAAGAAGGTTATATCACAACCAGACCAGCATAGAGGTGGTGGTTATTGTTATATGCCCTCACGTCACGGGTGACTCATAGCGACCCTAGGTACAGGAGCTCTGAAACCTGCTCTATCATGACCCAACCTCACTGTCTCTGACGCACCTACCCCCATTACCCCAGTCACTGACTCAATGCATCTCATCCAGGGTCTTCCTCTCCTGCGCTGTCCCTCCACCCTCTCAAGCATGAGGTCCCTCTCCAAGGACTGAGCCCTCCTTACAGCATGTCCAAAGTATGTCAGATGAAGCTTCAGAATCCTTTCCAAGGAGCAGCCTATTTTCACCCTCTCAAGGATGAACCTGTCTGTTCTCCTAGAAGTGCATGGTATATTCAATACTCTAACACCACAACTCAAAGGCATCAATTCTTCTTCTATCACCCTTAGTCATTGTCCAGTTATCTGATGCATAGCAAGCAACTGTGAAGACCATAGCCTGGATCAGACACACAGTCTCACCCAGCCCCAGAGTTCCATCTGTGTGTTTACTGGAAAGCCACAGGCCACCCTGATGCGATGTGCATATGTCTGTGTATCTATGTGTGTTTGCACAGAGTTGAATGGAGCTCTCACTGAGCTTGTCACCTTGACTCCAGACACATCAAAAGATTAAAGGATGACTGAAATACACAATCAGCAAAAGGTTCCCATCCAGGATCTACAAAAATAGAAGACCAATAAAATCATGGGCCAAAGACTGGACAAGCTAATGTCACAAAAGAAAATATCCAAATAGCCAACCAACACCTGAAAAGTATCAGTTAGTAAGGAAGTCCAAAGGAGATAGCACATCACAACTCCCAGAAGGCTAAATAAAACCAACAGATGTAAAAAGTTGGCAAGGACATGATCACCTGGAACTCTCTGATGCTGGAGTAAATCCCGGTGTGTTCACACAACAGAATTTAACACAGCAACAAAAATGAATAAGCACCATTCAACAGCAATCGTGAAGGCATAATAAGGTACCCTCATTTTATTAATCTAACATCTAAAGGCAGACAAAATTCAACTGTGATGTTAGAGGTCTGGATACTGGGTCCCTCTGGGGAAGAGGAAGGGAGATTTGTATTAGGGGGAGAGAGTTTTTGGAATGCTAATAGTTGATTTTTCAATCGGAGTGGTATTTATACAAATCTCAAACAGCTCACAAAATTGTACATTCTTAGGGCATGGGTTCTTCTATGAATGTGTGTCATTCTTCAATTAAAAAGAATTTTTTTAAGTGAATAAAAAAAGATATTTAAAGATGCTATTAAGATTGGCACAGGATAAAGCAGGCTTTAGGGCTGTTGTACATAGGGTCGCTCCAAGTCACAGGCGACTCGACGGCACATAACAACACCACCACCACTGCATCTAGAGGAGCTCTGGTGGTGCAGTGGTAAGAAGCTCTGCTGCAATCCCAAAGGCACACAGTTCAAATCCACCAGCTATTCCATGAGACAAGGATAAGTAATCCCCTCCTGTTTGAGTAACTGTCTCTGAACATCCACTGGGGGGTCAGCTATGGGTCGGTTCCGACTCAATGGTACTCAACAACAACAACAACATTTCACCTAGAGAGTAAGGAGTTGTGCTGCCAACCCAAAGGCAGAGAACTGAAATCTACCAGCTGCTCCACAGGAGAAAGACTGGCAACCTCCTCCTGTGCAATTTACAGCCTCTGAAAACCTACTTGGAGGGTCCACTCTGAGTCGGTTCTGACCGACAGCACATAACAGCAAAGAGAATACTTTCTCTCTATCTCCCATCAGGATGGATGGTGAAGAGATTGAGATTGTTCACAGCTTTAGTTTGCTTGGCTCCACAGTCAACACTCTTGGCACCAGTAGCCAGGAATTTAAAAGGCACATTGCCATGGAAAAGTCTGCTGTTAGGGACCTCTCCAAAGTACTGAAGAGCAATGGTGTCTCTCTGGAGACTAAGGTGCGTCTGACACAGGCCATGGTCTTCGCAATCACTTGTTATGCATCAGAGAGTTGGACAATGACCAAGGAGGATAGAAGGAGAATTGATGCCTTTGAGCTGTGGTGCTGGAGAAGAGTATTGAGAATACCATGGACTGCTAGGAAAACAAACAGATTTGTCCTGGAAAGGGTTAAACCAGGTGGCTCCTTGGAGGCAAGGATTCTGAGGCTCCGTCTAACATACTTTGGACATGTTGTGAGGAGAGACCAGTCCTTGGAGAAGGACATCATGCTTGGGAGGGTGGAGGGACAGCGCAGGAGGGGAAGGCCCTCTATGAGGTGGATTGATTCAGTGACTGGGATAATCGGGATGGGAGTGTCAGAGACAGTGCGATTGGCACAGGACAGAGCGGAGTTTAGGGCTGTTGTACATAGGGTTGCTATGAGTCGCAAGCGACTCGATGGCACATAACAACAACAACAACACCTCCCCTCCGACCCTCACCTCGCAAACACATACACCATGTATTGAAAGGGACACAGAGAAGAAAGAGCAGCAGTGCAGGATCCTGGGTGGTGCAAACAGTCTGCACTCAGCCACTAACCAGGAAGTTGGCAGTTCAAACTCACCCAGTGCCAGCCCAGAATAAAGGCTTGGTGATCGACCTCCATAAGATTCCAGCCAATAAAGTGCCGGGGAACTGCGGTCAGTAATGCATGGGGTTGCTGTGTGTTAGAAATGACTCAATGGCAAGAGGGTTGGTCTCTTTTCTTTTGGTTAAGCCACAGTATGCGATCACAAACAGCATCGCCCATCCCAACGCAAAACAGGAATAGGCATTTGCAGACAAGCGGGGGTAAGAACAAAGCTCTGCCTCCTTTATGTTGAACAGATAAGCTGCCTCGGGGTGGGCGCCCTGAGCTGAAGGGGCAGAGCCTAAGCAGGCCAAGGAGACAGACGAGACACATTTGGGGCCCTGTGGGTGCTGAAGGCGGAGGGCGAAAGACGGCAGTAAATTCCCCTCCAAACGCTACAAAAACCAATTCTGACCTACAGTTTTACACATTGTTTCCGGAAAGTAGTCAAGCAAAGATGTAATAGTGAAGAGCACAAACGTCACCCACCAGGCAGTACGTGCTGGGCTGGGAGGTGGAAGACTTGTACATCACACTGTAAACAAAAGTCCGCACCAACATCCCAAGAGCAGATGCTTGTGAATAGGAGCTGTTCCCTGTCTCGAGCAGCCTGGAAGGGCGAGGGGGCTCACCTCATGAGGGTACAGGGCAAGGATCAAGCAGAGCCTCTCCCACGTGCCAGGGCAGAATGAAGTGTGTCCTTGGGAAAGGTGTGGGGGTGTAGAATGGCCTTAAACAGCTCCTTGGATGTGTGGAAAGGTGTCCCCAGAGCCCTCTCTGTCCTGACAGCATCTTAGGATTTCAGTCATTCGGCCTGTCACTCTGCCTCGGTCACAGAATGGTCCCCAGTAACACTGCCTGGGCAAAGCCATGGGCAGTCACACCCTCCAGTCAACCAGCAGGCGTCTGAGACCCTCACTCGCAACTTCAGCAAAGGCTGGTAGAGAACACAAGAGAAACCAACGTTCACCACGCTGAAGACACACAGTGCTGAGACTCACAGGAGAAGCCTCCAGCAGACCAACGTCCCGTCCTCATTCCTGCCAGGGAGCCCCCAGCCCAGGGCATCCTGGATCACTTTCCCTCATTGGAAAGCCTCCTTCCAAGTCAGTCCTGGGGCTCTGGGTTTAATCCTCTGTGAGGAAAAAGGGTTATTGGGGTGTGAACAGTGCCTGTCCCCAAAAGTGAAGATCCTCCCCTGCCCAGTGGCTGGTTCTCGGGCAGCTAATGTCCCTCAGGTCTCACCACGGTGGGCTACAGTTGTAGAATTTCCCCAGAGGCACCTTCCAGGCAGACAGGGCTGGAACGCATGACCTTCGGGAGCTGAGGGAGTTCTACAGGCCAGCCGGGACCCATCACCCACTGAGGGCAGCATGGCCGGCCCTCGGCTGCTCTAACTCCACTATAAGATGGCAAAACTCCAAGGAGAAGAAAGTCACAGCCAGGGATCGGCCTCCCCTCGCTTCTACGGATGAGCCCGGGATCCACGGGGCCAAGTCAAGAGCTGCTCACTAGAACGCCGCTGTGTTTTCACAGGTGAAAAGAATTAACAGTTTGCCATCTCCACGGCCCCGAAACTATCCACAGACTCCCTATAAGCCAGTCTGCAAGAACCGGGGAGCATAAAATCTCTCCAGTGGGACAGGGCTCGATCCAAACTCTCCCACCAGCTCCAGCCACAATGAATAAATAGCCCTGGCAGGATCTAAAAATCACACACACACAATAAACCAGGAATGGGAGGAGGGGAATTCATCATATACAAAAACACACCACTAGAAGGTCAAGTCCAACCCACAGCAACACGAGAGGACAGAGCAGAGCCCCTCACAGGGCTACGTATCTTTACGCACGCAGACCGACCATCCTGTGCTGCAAAGTGCCTGGTGGGTTCAAACCACCAACCTTTTGGTTGGCCACTGATTGCTTTAACCACAGGACTACCAGGGCTCCTACAAGAGAAAGGAAACAGCCATAAGAAACACCTTGTTCTTCTAACAAGGAATTCATGCAATATTATTCAAAACGGGTGACCCTGGAGGACATTATGCTGAGTAAAGTATCTCAGTCACAAAAGGACAAATATTATATGGTGCCACTGTTGTAGAATGAGGCTGACATTGGGGTGGGGGTAAGACTGAGAAAAACTAGATAAATTATGTTTACTGCATTGAAGCTGATGAGGGAGAGAATAGTTTAAAATTAATATATTTTAGGGCATTATGATTATAAGAGTCCGGAATGAGGGCTGCAGAGTGAAGTACACTTGGGGTGGGAGAGGGGAGGTGCTGAGGTTGGGGGGTTGTGTACCAATGAAGTTTTTCTTTTGCTTTTCAAGGAGAGGAGCGAACTGGGGGTGGGGGGGAGTGAGTGGGTGGGGAGAAAAGTGCAACAATGAATGAATGGAATTCCAAAATCTCTGTAGATGTTCACTGAAATTAATAATAATAATAAAAAAGCAATTAAAAAAGATATTAAAACTGAACTTAGTTCATTTTACTAGAGATCTTACCTTTTTAATTTATTGGTTAGAGCTGAGATAGTTTTGTCTTTATCAATTACCTATTACTTGCATGGTTATCATATTTTATAATTTTCTATTTACTATTCCATATCTTTCTATAAAGTATTTCAAGTGATCTAAAAATGGCATTGGACCTTTCATCAAATAAAAGCAGTATCTGGTGTAAAAAAAAAAAAAAAAAAAGGCATTGGACCTTTCATCAAATAAAAGCAGTATCTGGTGTAAAAAAAAAAAAAAAGAAACACCTTGTTCTTCTACAGAGACCCACAACCTGGCAACAAAAATGTTACGGCCATTGTACCTGTGACTTGTAGCAATCCCGCAGGACAGAGCAGAGATGCCTCTTGGAAGGCGGCTCTAACCACTCTACCACCAATGCCTTGGCTAGAGCTGCCCCTTAAGCGTTTACAAGGCTGGATGTCTTCCTAGAAGCAGCCTCCTCTTTCTGCCTCAGAGAAGACAGTATATTATTCTAATCTTTAAGCTGTCCATTGGGGAGCTCTGGTGACCTAGGGGTAAGGAGTGGTGCTTG